TGGTGGCACACACTTTTTATCCCAGCACTTGGGAGGCAGAGGCAGGCAGATCTTTGTGAGTTCGAGGCCAGCCTGGTATACAAGGGCTAGTTCCAGGACAGGCTCCAAAGCTACAGAGAAGCCCTGTCTCGAAAAAACAAAACAAAAAATAAAAAGAAAGGGCTGGAGAGATGGCTCAGTGGTTAAGAGCATTGCCTGCTCTTCCAAAGGTCCTGAGTTCAATTCCCAGCAACCACATGGTGGCTCACAACCATCTGTAATGAGGTCTGGTGCCCTCTTCTGGCTTGTGGGCATACATGTAGACAGAATATTGTATACATAATAAATAAATAAATATTTTTAAAAAAAATAAAAGAAAAGAAAAAAGAAACAAGATAGGCAGAATGGAGATAAGGTAACAGCCATGGGAGAAGGTAGATTAAGAAGTATGGGTAAGAGCTAGTTAGAAACAAGTCTGAGGGGACTGGAGAAATGGCTCAGCAGTTAGAGCATTGGCTGCTCTTCGTAGAGGCCCTGAGTTCAATTCCTAGCAACTACATGGTGGCTCCCAACCATCTACAATGGGGGTCTGATGCCCTCTTCTGGCCTGCAGACAGACCATGCCTAAGAAATACATGAATAAATAAATAAATTAAAAAAAAAAGAAGTCTGAGCTAAGACCAAGCTTTCATAATAATAGGTCGCTGTGTCATAACCTGTTGGTCTCGGCAAGAAATTTCATCTAGCTAGACAGATGGTGGTGGTGCACACCTTTAATTCCAGCACTCAGGAGGCAGAGGCAGGCAGATCTATGTGAGTTTGAGGCCAACCTGGTCTACCAGGGCTAGTTCCAACACAGGCTCCAAACCTACAGAGAAACCCTGTCTTGAAAATCCAAGAAGGAGGAAAAAAAAGTTCGTCTACAAGTCCCACCAACTGGGGACCAGACATTCAAATGTATGAGGCTATGGAGGCCATATGCAGGAAGTGGGAGTCATTAAAACCACAACATAAACCCCTTCATCTCTTAGTTGCTTTTGGTCATAGTTTTTAACACAGAATTAGACAAACTATATAGAAATACAAATTCTATATAGGATAGAAAAACACTGCACAGAGAACTAAGAAACTGAATGACCCTGTGTTTCTTCAATGTTCTGGAAGGATTCATCCAAATAACAAGGTCCACATATCAGCAGCCTAAAGGATCTTGTACCCCGTGCCGTGTGTGCCTGCGTGGCAGGTGGCCTCTGAGGAGCTCTGTCTCCTTTAGAATTCGGTTTCCTCAGACACTGGATGAACATGTCCACCCCGTGGAACCATGGGACACTGCAAACCTAATAGCATGGCAATGACTAAGGTTAGCACATCCAAGACCTTGCCTTCTCTTGACTCACTTGCTCTGGGGACAGTCAGCTTCTGTCATACTATAGGTTTACTTAAATTGTCCACACAGCCATAAGGCCAGGTCTGCACAAACTTACTCTCACCTGAGTACCCCAGTCTTGGACCTTCAGGTGACTTCAGGCTCCGAGATATCCCAAGTTTGAAGCCACCCAAAGAAGCCACTCCCAAATTCAATTCTTGATTCAGAAACTGCGAGCTAATTGTTGTTCGAAGCCATGAAACCAGGGAGTTGTTACGTAAGGAAAGAGACCCACTTCGCATCGAGGGGAGGTGGGCAGGGCTGAGGGATTTTTATAGCCTAAGAAGGAAACAAAATTTGCCTCTCCACCCTTGAATCTGCACTCATCCATGAAACCTGTTTTGACTAGCGAATCATTATAAGCAAACTACTGAAGTGGGGAATTAAAAAACACCTAGGCCCAGTCAGGTGTGGTGACACCCCTGTACTCAGAAGGAGGAGGTAAGAGGATCAATCAAAGAAGCCAGTCTGGGCTATCTGATGAGACCCTTTCTTTAAATAAGCAAAACAAATGCCAACCAAACTGAGTTAGCTCCCCGGGGTCTACATAGTGGGAAGAGAACACATTCCGGCAGGTTGTCCTCTATAGTTGTATACACACGCATGCGCACACACACAATCTAAAAAGTAAAAAAATGTGCTTGTGTTGGATCCTGGGAATTTGGTGACTGTCATCTTGTTTCTAAGTTTAGGTGTCTCCGCTGGTGCCATGAGCCGCCATCATCCCAGATGACAGCCAGTGTGACTGGCCAGTCTGGTGAGGCGATCCCAGACTTTCAGCACACGAGGAGGTGGCCCAGGAAAGAGCTACCCTAGCTAGTCACAAGCTCCTATTTTGGGTGAGTTTTCACACCCTAGCTAGTTGATCGAACACCATGATGTCTGTGTATCTTGCCTTTCTCTCCTCTACGCCCTGCTCTAGGAGGATGCATTTCAGGATTACTACTGGATGAGTACAAAGCCAGGCCACTTCCGAACTTCTTTAAAAATCTAAATAAATGTGGGACATGACAGAGACAGACACCTACAGTCAACTGTTTTTTTTTCCTCCTGAGACAGCCCTGGCTGTCCCAGAACTTGCTCTGTAGACCAGGCTAGCCTCGAACTCGCAGAGAACTGCCTGCCTCTGCCTCTGAGTGCTGGGATTAAAGGTGTGTGCCACCACTGCCCAGCTAAAGTCAACTTCTGTCCCTCATTACACATTGGTAAGTGCATTTGCGCATACACACACAACCACACACACACACACACACACACACCTGCCTATGGAAAAGCTGCTGCATGATGTACTTAGGGACGATGCCTGAGACTGTCTTGTGAAAGCAGGAATAATTCGTGACCTTGAGCTATTCTGGAGCAGTACACCTTAAGTATTTCTAAACAAACAGATGTTTAGGGTTGTATTTTACCAACTTAGTTTGGGCACTCCTGAGCCAGCTGTGAAGGGAAAGGAATTCCAGAAAGTTCTATAGCTTTCCCAACACCCTCTGGGGTCCCCCCTCTCTGGGTGAGGGAGGAAGAAGGTGCTCTACTTTGAAGACAAAAATCCTTTGAGCTGGACAGTAGGCTTTCAATCCTTCTGATGTCAACCTACAATATGAAAGCCACCCATGTGAGCTAGCGACTCAAGGTGGAAACATAAAGGTCCTTGAAATATCAAATGGACAGGCATTAGCCCCAAGGGGGTTAAGTCGCTGGCCCTAGACCACACTTATAGTTAGTAGTGTTTGGATTTGATGGTGGTTACTAACAATCCAATACTTCCCCTGTGTCAGCCATTCCTGACACTGAGTTGTCTTTTCTGTAAGGTTTTGAGACAGGCTTTTATGTACCAGGATGACCTTGAATGTGAGATTCTCCAGCTTTAGCCTCTCCAAAGCTGAATTTCCAGTGAGAACCACCACACCCATGTGTTGAGTTCTTTTTTTTTTAGGGGGGGGGCACGTTTCAAGACAGGGTTCCTCAGCTCCGCATAGATCTGGCTTTCCGGGAACTCACTCTGTAGATCAGGCTGGCCTTGAACTCAGGTCTGCCTGCCTCAGCCTCCGGACTGCTGGGATTAAAAGTGGGAATTCTTTTTTTTTTTTTCGAGACAGGGTTTCTCCGTGGTTTTGGAGCCTGTCCTGGAACTAGCTCTTGTAGACCATATTATTCTTTTAAAGCGGGTGGGTGTGTAGACGAACACAGGATAGACGAGACACGCGCAAAAGGAGACAAGACATGCGGCTCCCACGTGGGTGCACTTTAATGGGGGGGAAGGGGGACACGATAAGGGATGGGTGTGCAAGATACACAAGTGTAGAAGGGCAAGAGAGAGCGAGACCTCGTGGAAGCTCGCTTTTTAACGGGAAGCGCAAGGTTATCTGGGAGAAATGAACTGCACCTGTGCACGCCCGCGTGCGCAGGTATCCGTAATCCAGGAGGAGTCTGGGAGCTGTAGTTTCCAAAAGGAACAACAGACCAGGCTGGTCTCGAACTCACAGAGATCCACCTACCTCTGCCTCCCGAGTGCTGGGATTAAAGGCGTGCACCACCACTGCCCGGCAAAGGTGGGAATTCTTGAGTTACATTCTTCCACCCACTAGTCACTGTGACTACTGGACAGATACTATCGCGCCCCAGAACAGATGAAGAAGCAGTCTCAGACCAGGGAAAGAATACCTTTTTTTTCCCAGTGTAACATGACCCAGACACTTGCACCGCAGGTCTGGCGGTGATCACAGCCTGCTATCAAGAAAGTAGCTATGTGCTATGGAGATGACTCAGTGGCTAAGTGTGCAGGCTTGTGAAGGCACAAGGTTCAGAGTTCAAATCCCAAGCAGTCACGTAAAAGCTGACCATGGCCCCAGGTATGCAGCAACCTTAGCTTTGGAGCGTGGAGTCCAGGAGATCAGTGACCAGTTAGTCTAGTCTACTAAATGGTGAGCTTCAGGTTCAGGGATTCTGCATCAATAAAATGGGGCTGGGCGCACCTTTAATCCCAACACTCAGGAGGCAGAGGCAGATGGATTTCTTGATTTTCAAGCCAGCCTGGTCTACACAGTAAGTTCCAGGCTAGCCAGAACTAGGTAGTGAGACAGTGACTCTACTACCAGACATGGAGGTGCATGCCTGTAATCCCTGAGTTTGAGACTCGGCGGCAGGAGGATCAGGAGTTGAAGGTCCTTATCAGATATATAGATCATCTGAAGCCAGCCTGGGTTCCATGAGAACCTATCTGTAAAGAAAATCGAAGGAAAACGGAGAATGAAGAGAGAGAAGGGGAAGAGATGGAGGAAAGTAGGGGTAAAAGGGGGAGCGGGGGGGGGGGGGGAGAGGGGGCCGGCTATGCTGTCCCCTGGGCCCCGCCTTATCCACCACTCCCGAGAAAGCTAGCCGCTAAGGACGAAAGTGCACGCTTTGGCCGAGGAGAAGAGGATTCGCGTCCCTGCCACGCGGTGCTCTCCGATGCCGTGGCGGCTCCAGCCCTTCAGTTTCCACGCCTGAAAGGTGTCGCTTTTCCCCACCGCCAGCATCAAGCTCGGCGGGCGGGCGTGCGTTCGGTGCCAACTCCTCCCGGCCCCGCCCCCCTGGCCCCCACGCGCACGCGCCGCACAGGGGCGCCTTTTACGACGCTTCAGTCGCTGCGCTTGGCGGCGGGCGCGGAGCGGAGCAAGCGCCGGTCGAGCGGCGGCTCCCGGGAGTCACAGGCGGGCGGCGGCGCCATGTCGCACGGGCACAGCCACGGCGGGGGCGGCTGTCGCTGCGCCGCCGAACGCGAGGAGCCGCCCGAGCAGCGCGGCCTGGCCTACGGGCTGTACCTGCGCATCGACCTGGAGCGGCTGCAGTGCCTGAACGAGAGCCGCGAGGGCAGCGGCCGTGGCGTCTTCAAGCCGTGGGAGGAGCGGACCGACCGCTCCAAGGTGGGCGGCCGGGGCGGGCTCGGAGCCGCGGGGCCTTGGAGGATAGACAGGCAGGGAAACTGAGGCCCAAAAGGAGCAAAGTGGGCGTTTCTCCTCCTTTCCAAGGCGGCGAAGGCTGCTGCCTCTCCCTCTGACCATTGGTCCAAATGGCTGTCCGACGGCATCACCTAGCCTAGGGTCGCGACCCGTGTTTCCAGCCTGGAGCCCAGGACCTCTTTGAAAGCCATTTGAAGGCTCCCCAGAAGGATTAAACACCGGTCTTTCAATTCGGAGCCCGGGAAACCCTCAGAATCTAGTTTAGATAGAGGGTCTGTGGTGATTAGAACCCTGGCTGAGACTCATTAGAGCCTCATGCTCTTGGGTTGGGTGGTGGTGCAGGCCTGTGCATCGCATGCCAGTTTGTAGAACAGGGAGGCAGGATGCCTGACGTCGTAGGCTCTCGGCAGCAATTTGTTGCTTTCCCCCCCCCCCCCCCCCAGTTTGTTGAAAGTGACGCGGATGAAGAGCTTCTGTTTAACATTCCGTAAGTATCTCCTCGGTACTGGCCTCCGGCGAGGTAGGCTCTACCCAGTTGTCGCTTCAGACGGCGTCGTTCATTGGCTACGTCAAGAGTGCACATCTGTTGGCAGAAATGGGACAGATTACTTTGGTGGGTCTGAAAAAGAAAGCATCATAGCTTTTGTGTGTCTGTGTGTATGAGTAGAAATGGATGTGTTTGTTGAATTAATAACCGAGAAGTTGAGATAAATTTCCTAGAGTTGTGGAATGACAGAATCTTTGAAATTGCTACAAGGGACAGGTAGTTAAATTGGGCTGAGAGAGGGGAGGGTCTTGCTCACACAGGGTCTCGCGGCTTCGCGGGATTCGATCCCAGGTAGACAACGCTCTCGTTTGCATTCTGGCAGGTTTACGGGCAATGTCAAGCTCAAAGGCATCATCATCATGGGAGAGGACGATGACTCACACCCCTCGGAGATGAGACTGTGAGTATCCGGGGCCTCGGCCCTCGGGAACCTCCTACTTGTCTTTTCTCCACTGCTGGCATTTTATTCCAGGGATCGGGAGCCGGCACAGTGGGTAAGAATGCTTGCTGCACAAGTGGGAGGCTCGGGATTCAGATTCCCAAGACCCAAGTGAAGAACTGCTGTGGCCTCCGTGCTATGGGGAGAGCAGGATTGCGGGGCTTGCAGGGGTCAGCCCAGCTCCAGGTTCAGAGAGACCTGTCTCAGGGGAATAGGCGAAGAGTGCCAGGGGAGGGTCCCGAGGTCCGTCTTTGGCCTCCGTGTGCAAATGCCACACACAGATAGATTGGTCCAGCTGGGTGTGGCAGTGTACACTTGTAATCCCAGCACTGAGGAAGCTGAGGCAGGAGGATTATTGTGAATTCAGTGGATTGATCTGGGTTCTCATTTACATTGGAATGCATGTATTGCTTCCTGAATTAGTTATATATGGAAATGTTATTTAAGTTATATATATATATGTATAAAAATATGAGCTTTGCTTTATTTTTGAGACAAGGTCTTATGTGTTATGTAGCCCAGGCTGGCCTTCAGCTTCGAACCCCTACCTCCATCTTCCAAATTACAGGTGTGTGCCACCATGCCCAGATGACTTTATTTTCTTTTTCTTTTTTTCCCAGATGACTTTTATTTTTGATGCCGGTTCTCACTGTGTAGCCCTGGCTGGCCGGGAACTCACAGAACTCTGTTTCTCTGCCTTCTGATTAGGGGATTAAAGGCACGGAACACCCTGCCTAACTGACTTTTTTTGTATTTTGTGGTTCTGGGGATGGACTACCAGGCCTTACGAGTGCTTGGTACCTGCTCTACCACTGACTCTCATCCCCAGCCAAGTGACTCTCTTAGATGAAGCATCTCTAGGGCCAGCTGCTTATCTCTTTTCCACGCACTCAGACAGTTGGTGATGACTTTGCAGTTTCCTTAGTAACCTACCTGCAAATTCCTCGGTGTTCCTTATGGCTGCTCTTGGTGCATAGTGACCGTCTTTGCAGTGCTGTGCTGAAAGGCAGGTGCTCCAGCATCTGTTGGCCTCAGGGCAAGGTTCCGTGGTCCTGGAGAGCTTGCCTTTTTCTGCTATTGCCTTCCTGAAAGAAGAGGAATGTCCTTAGTGATGCTGCAGAAATGTTAAATTCTCAGGACGGCTAGGAACAGAGCTCAGTCAACAAACTGCTTGCCTAGCCGGCACAAGGACCTAAGTTGCATCTCTGACACCGATGTGATAGAGTGCTTGTAGTAATCCCCGTGCTGGGAGACGGGCATCCCTGGGGCTCATTGGCCGGCCCAGCCGGCCAGCCTCACCTAATTGGCAAGCTTCTAGCTAATAAGAGACCCTGTCTCAAACAAGGTGGGTGGCATTCCCGAGGATCACACAAGGTTGTCCTCGAACTGCCGCACAAGCATGCAGACATAAATTCTCTGTCTGTCTGTCTGTCTGTCTGTCTGTCTGTCTCTCTCTCTCTCTCTCTCTGTCACACTAGAAGGTTGCAGAGATGGCTTAGTGATTGAGCATAATGCCTACTTTCCCAAAGGACTCGGGTTCGATTCCCAGCACCTGCTGGCTCACAACCATTTTTTTAAATATATTTATTTATTTATTATGCATACAATATTCTGTCTGCGTGCATGCCTGAAGAGGGCACCAGATCTCATTACAGATGGTTGTGAGCCACCATGTGGTTGCTGGGAATTGAACTCAGGACCTTTGGAAGACGAGACATTGTTCTTAACCACTGAGCCATCTCTCCAGCCCCTCACAACCATTTCTTAACTCCAGTTCCAGGGGATTTGACACCTTTTTATGTCCTCTGAGGGCACCAGTTATACAAGTGAGGTGCACAGATGTACATGCAAGAACTCATACATAAAATAATAAAAAGAAAAAGAAGTGGCCACAGAGAGACGGTTTAGTGGTTTGGAGCACTTAATGTTCTTACAGAGGCCCCGGATCTGATTTCCAGCACTCACACCAGGTGACTAACAGATGCCTGTGACTCCAATTTCAGGGATCCGACACCCTCCGATGTCCTTGATCACCTGTGTGCATGTGATACATACACATAAGCTCATGCAGGTGCACACAGATACACATAAGGAATAAACCTTCCTTGTTCTGGATTGCCTTGTCCAGCTTGAACGCAGGGGGTGTGCTTGATATGCCATGCTTTGCTGAACCCATGGGAGGCCTGCCCCATTCCGAGCGAATATGGAGGGGGAGTGAGAGGAGAGGAAGGAGGGGAGGCTGTGGTAGGGATGTAAAATAAGTAAATAATAAAGTAATAAATCTTGATTTAAGCTAGGCATAATATCTCATACCTTTAATCCTAGCACTTGGAAGGCTAAAATAGGATTGCTGAGACTTTGAGGCCAATTGGAGCTATATAGTGAGCTCTGGGCCAGTTGTCCCATTATAAAAAACAACATTTTAAAAAGTTTTTAAAAAAATTAAAAAAGCTTAATTTGGGGCTAAGGTTGTAGTTCAGCGGTAGAGGACTGGGCATGTGTGAGGTCCCGTGTCCAGTCCCTACCACTCCTGGAGAGGTCTAGAGTTCCGTTCTCAGTGACTACATTGGGTGGCTCGTAATCATCTGTAACTCCAGCTCCAAGGCATTAGACACCCTCTCCTGAGCTCCTTGGGCACACATACCGGCATGGCATTGACTCACAGAAATTCACACATTAATAAAATAAATTTTTAAAAGTATATCTCTGTGTTGAATCATTTTAAGGAAACTCGATGTTTGATCTGATAACTTTTATTTTTTTAAATATTTATTTATTATTTATTATGGATACAATATTCTGTTTGCATATATGCCTGCAGGCCAGAAGAGGACGTCAGACCTCATTACAGATGGTTGTGAGCCACCATGTGATTGCTGGGAATTGAACTCAGGACATTTGGAAGAGCAGGCAACGCTCTTAACCACTGAGCCATCTCTCCAGCCCCCTGATCTGATAACTTTTGATACTTTTGGATACTTAATTACTGGGGAGGTTGACTAGCTTCAGTGCCTCTCTGGTTAAGAGTGTGGTCTGTGGGGCAAAGTGAGCTCATTTTCACACTGTACACTGACTAGCTGCTCCATGAATTCCGGACACTGTTTATCTGTATGTTTTTGTTTTGTTTTGTTTTGTTTTTTCGAGACAAGGTTTCTCTGTAGTTTTGGAGCCTGTCCTGGAACTAGCTCTTGTAGACCAGGCTGGTCTCGAAATCACAGAGATCCGCCTGCCTCTGCCTCCCGAGTGCTGGGATTAAAGGCGTGCGCCACCACCGCCAGGCTTGTATGTTTTATTTTATGTGTATGTGCCTGAGTATGTAAATATGTGCGCCACATGCGTGCAGTCGCCTGTAGAGGTCGGTAGAGTGTGCTGGATACTCTGGAACTGGAGTTACAGGTGGTTGTGAGCCACCATGTGGGTGCTGGGAACCAAAACTGAGTGTTCTTAATCTCTCCGACCCCATGGGTTTTTATTTGTTTATTTTTCTGAGGCATGATCTTTCTACATAACTCTGGCTGTCCTGGAACTCACTCTGTAGACCAGGCTGACCTCGAACTCACAGAGATCCGCCTGCTTCTGCCTCTGCTGGGAGGAAAGGCGTGTACCATCTGGCTCCTGGTTTTTTGAGAGAAGGCCTTATAACAAACAGTACATGCTGACCTCTAACGCACTATTGTTTCTGATCCCCAGGCGCTGAGATCACAGGTGTGTTCTATCATGCCTGAGAAGCTTTTCTGTTCTTTTCTACAGTGTCTTTCCCCCATCATCTTACTGTGTAACAGACTGGTCTTGTCTCAGTGTGTCAGCCTCCCGCGTGCTGGCATTGGGTCCCTATGCCTGGTGATCCATATTTGTCCTACTGTGCTGTAGGCTCCTAGAAGGTATTCCTTCTACCTAGCTGCATCCTGAACTAGTTAACCAGTCTTTCTCCCTGCTCACACCCCCACTCCGGCTCCAGTAATCTCTTCTCAATCCTTGTTTCCCTGAGGTCAACCTGTCTTGCTTCTGGGTATGTGTGAGAGAGAGCATGCAGCATTTGTCTTTCTGTGTTAAGCTCATTTCACGTAACATCCTCTAAGCGTGTCTACACTGCATCAAATGACGAATTTTATTCTTTTTATAACTGAATAGCATCCGTGCTTACGTCACGTTTCCTCTATTCATTCAACTGTTGATAGGACTGAGGTTGAGTCTTTGTCTTGGCCATTGAATTGGCATTGGATAGTGCCGTGATAAGCAGCAGATGGCAGCAGGAGTGCAGATGGCTCCCATACTCACTTCCTTTCCTGTGGATATTTGCTCAGTAAGGGAATTCTTAGCTCATGTGGTATTTCTATTTCCCTTTTGTTTTTTTTTTGTTTTGTTTGTTTGATTTTAAGGATTTTCCACAATCTCACCCTAGCTTACATTTCTATATGCAGTGTTTGTGTGTTCCCCTTTCCCTGCTTCCTCGCCAACGTTTATTTCTTGTCCTTTAGTGGTAGCCGCTGTGAGAGGGTAAGATGATAGCCAATTTGCATATCCTTGGTTAGTGATGGAATATTTTTTTTCATATTCTTGTTGGCTTCTTGAATGTTTCCATTTTGTGGTTTTGAGACAGGGGCTTACTATATAACCCAGGCTGACCTCAAACTCGGGATCCTCCTGGCTCTGCCTCCCAGGTGCCGGGATTACCAGAGTGTCAAGGCGCCCAGGTGTGTGTCTTTTGAGACCGGTCTTTTCACTCCTTTGTTCTCTAATCGGAGTATCTGCTCTCCGTGGCCGACTTGAGTTCCCCCCTGTGTGGTGTGGAGCAGCTTGCACGTAGTTTCTGTCATTCTGTGGGATGAACCGTGGGTTTTTAACTGCAGTAGCGCACTGCCTCATAACGCGGCTCATGAACGCTCACTGTTATTACCCTGCTGGGGCTCACTCTTGGGAACACTTTGAAGCAAACACTTGCTTCTTAAATGACACACATTCTGCTGCAGTGAAATTATAGCCCTCCTTTGTGGGTGTGTTAGTAAAATACCTGGAGGGACATTCAGCTGAGGGCTGCAGAATTTGTTAGGTGTTTTTTTTTTTTGTTTTTAAATGTTTTCTTTAATTTACTGGCAGTTTAACTTTCCAAAGCCTTTTATGAGTTTGTTGTCTTTTGTGTAGCCTTTTTGAAGTTGAAATCCCTTATTGTATTTTAAGAAAAATTGCTGGATATGTTGGCACAAGACCTTTAATCTCAGTGCTTGGAAGGCAGAGGCAGGTAGATCCAGCTTGGTCTACCTAGCAAGTTCCAGGACAGCCAGGAGACCTTGTCCCAGGGGGAAAAAAAACAGGAAAAGAAATATGATATGATGGTGTTCAGGTGGTTTTTGGACACGAAACCCGCTTGAGTGTTGGGCCACCTGATCTTAACTGTGTGTAATGTTTCTGCTGAAGTGTGCGCTTTCCCATGAGTAAGCTGTCTTCACAGTTCAGCGTGGGCTGCATGTGCTGAATCGGCTCTTCTCCGTGCAGTTCCTGCATGTGACCCAGCTGAGTGCTCTGCTTGCTGCACTGCCTCTCGGGGTCTCAAGCCCTCAGTGGTGCCACTGGATTGCGTGTGGTTCCTAGTTCTCTACTTGCTGTTTTGTTCTCCCTCACCTCTCCTCTCCTTTCTTTCAAGGTGGGATCTTGCTGTTTGCCTGCAGTGGCCCCGAGTGAACTCTGATTAAGAAGTCCTCTTGCTTTGGGCTCCCTGGTAGCCAGGGCTGCAGGCTTGCACTAACCCTTCCAGCTTTGTCGTTGGCCTAGGGATATTTGTATGTAAATGCCAGTAAAATGCCATTTTGATCTCCTTTTGACAGAACTGGGGCTAGTTGGGCAGTCAGTAGGGAGTTATAAAACACTGAGAGATAATGCCTATTCCTTGACTTTTCTCCCCCCCCCCCAGGTACAAGAACATTCCCCAGATGTCCTTTGATGACACGGAGAGGGAGCCTGATCAGACCTTCAGTCTGAACCGAGATACTGCAGGAGAATTAGAGTATGCTACAAAGTAAGCGTGCAACCGTCCTCCACTCTCTGTCTCTTCTTCCTTTCATTTTGGAGAAGGGTCTTGATATATGTCCAGGCTGGCCTTGAATCTCAGTCCTTCTGTATATCTGTCTCCCCAGAGTGCCTCCTGCTTGCCCTGGCTATGCCATGGCTTGTCCTTGACTTGCAGCAAGTGTGCAGCCTGTGAGCTTGCTTCTTTCTTTGGCCAGTGTACTGCTCTGTGAGCAGTGGAATCAAGTTACAACAGCAGAGGAAGCTTGATCCTTGGCATGGTAAGCTTTTGGCAGAGATCAGTGCACATCACAGACTTGTTAACTTGGAAGCATTGGGCAGTCTCAGCTGAGCAGCTAGTATGGCTTAGCAAAGGTGTTTGCAGAATTCATCTGCAAAGTGGGCTTGTGGCAGACTTGTTACCTGTGCTCGCCTGCTCGCCCCCCCTTTTTTGTTTGTTTGTTTGTTTGCTTGTTTTTTGAGATAATATTTTTCTAGCTGTCCTGGAACTCACTTTGTAGATCAGGGTGGCCTTGAACCCACATAGATTCACCTGTCCTGCCTCCTGAGTGCTGGGATTAAAGGCATGCATCACTACCACCTGGCCCCACCTGGTCTCTTATAGTGTTCTCCAAAGGGTGAGGTCGACTTGATAAACATGGCTTAGAACCTGCCTGGTCACACATCATTCCTATTTCTTCTTCTTCTTTTTTTTTTTAATGTTTTTGTTTTTCTCTTTTTGTATGTATGTATGTATGTATGTATGTATGTATGTATGTATGTATTTATTTATTTATTTATTTATTTATTTATTTATTTATTTATTATCATCTATATAATATTCTGTCTGTGTGCATGTCTGCAGGCCAGAAGAGGGCACCAGACCTCTTTACAGATGGTTGTGAGCCACCATGTGGTTGCTGGGAATTGAACTCAGGACCTTTGGAAGAGCAGGCAATGCTCTTAACCGCCGAGCCATCTCTCCAGCCCCCATTCCTGTTTCTTGAAGTTAGGAACATTATATGTTCTTTTTTTTTTTTTTGCTCTTTCTTTCCTTCCTTCCTTCCTTCCTTTCTTTGACAGTTTTCCCACATACCCCTGGCTGGGCTGGAATTAACATGCCGACCAGACTGACCTTAAACTTGTGGTAATCCTCCTACCTCTGCCTTCTGGGTATGGTGATGACATATGCCACTATGGCAGGTGTGGTTTTTATTCATTTTTCTGTCCTTTCCTTAGATAGGGTCTGGCAGATGCCTCGTAAGTGTCTACTGCTCCTAAGGAAACCGGGGTGAAGGACCAGGTGTCCTCTGATACTTGGCTGCAAGTTGGGGCTGAAGTGTCGTCTCCCCTGGTGCAAGGACGCATGCCGCATGGTCAACTGTGTCTTCTCTCCTTCTTTCTTTTCTACCCTCCAGGATTTCCCGGTTTTCAAATGTCTATCATCTCTCTATTCATATTTCGAAAAACTTTGGAGCAGATACCACGAAGATCTTCTATATTGGCCTGAGAGGAGAGTGGACTGAGGTAAGAGAGACTGGTAATGTGTGTGCACACTATGGGGCAGGAGCTCCAAGAGAAGAGCAAGTGAGGTATTGGCTGCTCCATCTGCTTATAATTTTTCTTTCTTTTTTGATTGCTGTTTTGAGACAAGCTCTCACATTTAATTCTAGCTAGCCTAGAACTCATTATGTAGCCCAGGCTTGCCTGGGTCTCACAGAGATTCCCCTGCCTCTGCCTCCTGAGTGCTGGCTTCTTAATTTTTCTTGATTTCATCATAACTTTCTTCATTGGATATACTTGAAGTTTTTTGCTTTTCTAATTCATGTATTTTATTTTCTGAATATATTTATGTGTATATAGGTATGGGTAGCTTACAGGACCTTCTGGGAGTCATTTCTCTCCTTCCACCATCTTGGTGTCACATGTATAACTTAGGTCATCAGCCTTGGCGGCGTCACCCTTACCTGCAGGGCTGTCTTGCTGGCCCCGCTATAGGTATTATTAAGGGAATGGAAATGATAGAATTTCTATCAGTTCAGTTTTGAATTTTCAGATTTTCATGAATATTTTTGATACAGCGTGTGGGTGTAGTTGAGTGACAGCTTGCTTAGCATGCAGAAGGCATGGGTTCCAGTCCATCACACATCCTTGGCTGTCTCTTGTTCTGGGCACCAGAGAGAAGTTCCTTAGACAAGTTCCTGTTCTCACCTGGGTTTTCTTGGCTGCTGGGAATCTTGGTAGTGGATTGTGGTCTTTGTTGGCTTCTCAAGGTTAAAGTGTCAGCGGAGGGGAGCTTCAGAGAGGATATGTGGCAGGGAGGAGCTTTGGGAAAGGAGGGCTCCCTGGCAGCCACTGACCTCATCATTACCTTTGCCTGTAGCTTCGCCGGCACGAGGTGACCATCTGCAATTATGAAGCGTCAGCTAACCCAGCAGACCACCGGGTCCATCAGGTCACCCCACAGACACACTTCATCTCTTAAGGGCGGATCCAGGCTCCCTCAGATGCACTGTGAAGATGTGCGACCACCTGCTGGGAAGGACTGAGGAGGCTCCAGCAAGAGCTGCCTGCCACAGCCTCCGCCAAGCTCTGTCTTGGGGTTGCTGCGGGAACCTGGCCTGTGGAAAGGGCCTCACCACCGGGAGCAGTGTGGGTGCCAAGGGCAGTGTTCTCTAAGGCACTACAGAAACGGGCTTAGGCTGGGTGCTATCTGGCAGTCCTGAATAACGTTTGCTTTTCCAGTCAGTGTGGCCATGGGATCCCAAGTGTCTTGTTGCTCATGGCAGGTTTTTTGTGTGATTTGTCCGTTTTAAAAAAAGCTTCCTGGGCCACAGGAATTCTTTTGAAACCGAAGCTTTGTGTTTGTGTTAGCCAGCAGGAAGATCTCCAGGTAGAAACACGTGTCCCTGCTCGCTCCTCCTCCCTGTCACTGCTCAGCATTTGTGTCATATGTCATGCACGAGTGTCCCGTGATGGTGGCTGGAAAGGAACGCATCTCTTGGCAAATGACTGCTTGGGGGAGGTCTCTTCCAAGCAGGTGGGAGAGCAAGGCATAGTTTCTGTGTGGGCGACCTGGATGAGGTGAGACTGAGACTTACTAGAGATCACCCTCGGGACTCCTTGGTGTTTACTTGCTTCTGCCTTGTGTTATAAACTCAGTGCTCGAATCTGGAGACCCTGGTTCTTCTGTTCATGGCTTCTCTTCACTGTGACTAATAAGCTTCTTAATAAATCCTTGCCAGACTTACGGTTTGTCCTGTCTTCTGTGCTCTTAGTACTGTGAAACTCACAAGCAGATAAAACACCCATACACATAAAATCATCTTGGATGCAGGAGAGATTCTGGAGGCATCAGACGAAGTGAGGATGCGGCTAAGAACAATTCCTGACAATGGGCAGAGATAGCACCTGGTGAGCATCTGAGTGTCAGAAAACACCGAGACCTGGCTTTTCTCTAAATAGCAAGGGTTGGTAAGGGAATGCTGCTGAGTCTGGTCCTGGAGAATTCCAGGATGGCTCATGCTCGGCAAGGAGGATGCGCAGTTCTTGGTACAAGGTCTGCCAGTTGAAGCCTTGGTGAGAATCACAGTTCTTCCAGTGCATGAAGGTTGTCTTCACCCGCAGCCTGCTTTGTGGGGGGCATTCTGAAGAGCAGAGGGCTAGTGGGTGCGGGTTTAGTTCAGCAGGACCCTTGCCTAGCATGTGAAGGGCCCTGGGTTTGGCTCCTAGCACCGAGATAAAGGCTATTTAAAAATTTGGATTAAGGGAAAATAGAAAGTTAAAAACCTCAAAACAGGACCATGCAGAAGGTAAGAGTATTTGCTACTTAAGTCTGACAACCTTAATTGGGATCCCCAGGACCCAACTGAAGCCCGAGGCCATGGCACATGTCTGTAATCCCAGTGAGGCGGGCAGAAACAGGAGATTCCCAGGAAGTGCTCAGGCCAGCTTGAGTGTGGTATCCAACACTGCAACCGAGCAGACTGCCTCAAACAGGAGGTTTGCTGGGTATGACGGTCCATGCCTTTCATCCCAGTCCTTGGGAAGCAGAGGCAGGCACATCTGTCTGCTGTACATAGCCAGGTCTGAGAACTGATGGCTGAACTTGGTCTCGGATGTGAACAAACAAGTATACACATGCACACAAAACACCAGCGCCTCAGACACCAGCCCGTTTGTTCCCCTAATATGGGCTCACATGGAGCTCCTGGACCTGGGCCTGTAGGTTTAAAGCGTCCCTTGCCAAAGTGCCATGTGGCCCATGTGATGAGCCTGCAGGAGGAGCTGCATTTCACCCACAAACCAGCCCAGCAGGATTCTAGGATTCTGCAGTCAGGGGACCACCCCTATCCCATTGTTTTCTTCTACCTTTTTTGTTTGTTTTTCGACACAGGGTTTCTCTGTATAAGCTCTGGCTGTCCTGGAACTCGCTCTGTACTTCAGGCTGGCCTTGAACTCACAGCGATCCACCTGCCTCTGCCTCCAGAGTGCTGGGATTGGATTACAGGTGTCTGCCACCACTGCCTAGCTGTTTTCTTATTTTATCCCCTTTCTTTTGTGACATCCACTTCCAGGTCTTTGGCTTGCTGTGGTCTCTTGATCCTAGTATTCCAAGTTCCATTTCCATGACCTTTTGACTTAAATATGAGATCAAATTGCTTCTTGGCCTCAAGGGAAGTGTTTTGAGCTTCCAAGCTTGAATTGCTTTGGGTTCATAGAAAAAGACTAGAGTTGGTTAAACTGGGAAAAGGAGGCCTCAGTTGCTGAGGGACCCCTATGACTCATTTCCTGTTTGCGGATCCCTACTGGCTCTCTCAGGGACTCAGCCCTTCAGTTCTGCTTGTCTCAGCCTGGACTCCAAGCCCAATTTCCACTTGAGCAGTGTGACTCAGTGGTGACCAAATGAAGTCCTTTGGTTCGCAGCTCGCAGCTGGTGGCATTCGGTACAACCTGAAAGGCATCAGTGGGCAAGAACAGCATCAAGTCAACACCGCTGGTGCTGCTCCGTGGCAAGGACAATGTCAAGTCAACACCACCGGGGCTCTTCGTAGCCTGTAGCCTGCTATGGCCTACATAGTTTCCCAGGGTCCTTCAAATGATTAAGGCCTCCTACTGTGATCTTCCAGTGTTCAAAGAAAGTTTACGTGGCCTCATTGGAGCTTAACAGCAAAGTGACAGCAGGTGGTTATTATCATTTTATAGCCGAGGAAGCCGGTCAGGAAAGGCAGATTACAGTGTAATCTTCAGTTTCCTCACCTTTAAAGATAAGCGTGGAGGGCTGGTGATCTTGGGTCTTTTCAGGTCACCGTGTAGGATGGCATCCATGATCCTGTGAAACTGGAATAGGGCTTGAGAACCAGTATAGAGGACGAACAAGAAGAAAGATCTAAAGTATACAGGTGTATAGTTAAAGGCATTCAATCCCAGCACTCAGGAGGCAGAGGCAGGCAGATCTTAGTGAGTTCAGGGACAGCCTGGTCTACAGAGCGAGTTCCAGGACAGGCATGACTGTTACACAGAGAAACCCTGTCTCCAAAAATCAAAAACAAACAAAAAAAAGCATTCACAAGTTTTGTGAGGGAAGCCAAACTCTGAGATGTAAAAGTGTTCCACTACAGTGACCATTTTACTTATGTATACAATGCTGTGCACTGGAGATGTAAGCAGTAAAGTGTATCTTAATAAAACCAAATAACCCGGGCCGTGGTGGTGCACCCACCACCTTTAATCCCAGCACTAGGGAGGCAGAGGCAGGCAGATCTCTGTGAGTTTGAGGCCAGCCTGGTCTGGTCTACAAGAGCTAGTTCCAGGGCAGGCTCTAAAAAAACTACACCAAAACCCTGTCTCGAAAACAAAAAAAAAAAAAAACAAAAAAAAAAACAAAAAACAAAAAACAAACCAAAACCAAATATTGGCTATTACCCAAGACCACACACACCTGGAAGTGTGCCCTGCCCTATAGGGATGGGAAGACGCCCAACTTTATGATAAAGAATACTATGAAGACTGTCTCTCCTCCAGGACGCAGATCGACCGGGAGCCCTGAGCTGGCAGAGCGTCTGGGAAGCCCCTGTCGTGTCCAGACGCTGCAGGCGGCAGCGTCGCATCATAGGGAGTGGTCCCACTGTGGGCAACATGGCAGCTCCTAGCCAGGAAACCCGGACCCGCTTCCGGGTTCCGTACCACTGGCCAGGCTACTTCCGGCAGCGCGATGGCTGGGTTCCCGGGACTCGAACGGAAGTTCCGGCGGGGGCGGCCGAGGGGGACGAGTGTGTGTCTGTGCGGGAGAAAGGGGAGACTCGCCCGACCGGTCTCGGAAGCCCCTGGGAGTGAGGTACCCAGCTCGGCGTGCGGCGAGGCTGCGAGGGTCCCGGGGCGGCGGCGGGGAGGGGCCGGAGGGCGCTGTCCAGTCCTGGGACGGCGGGGCCAGGGGCTGCGCGCGTGGCGGGAGAGCAGTTGCGCGCTGGGCAATGGGAGACCCCATTGTGGGGCGGAGGCTCCCCCGGGTCAGTGCCCCTTTGTGGGCGGGTGCGAGCCCTGGGGGCAGGGTAGAAAATGCCACTGTAGGGATGTGATGACCCCGGGTCAGAACCCAAGTTCCCACTGTGGAGAATGGGAAACGCCGGGTCATCCCATCTCACCCTTTGGAGAGTGGGAGCCGGGTGTAGGTGGGAGTTCCCAGAGAGGAGGAGGAAGGGGATCCTAGCTTAAGGCGGCAGGTGCATCCTTCCTGTGTGGGAAGAGGATCCTCAGGGTCAGATGCTGTGTGATCTTCCTACCTTGAAGAGGGGCAGTCGGGGTCAGAGCTGGAAGGTGGGAGCCTGCAGGAGGGCGGGGCGCCCTTAAGAAGACACTTAAGGGGCAGGTAGCGGAAGCTTCCGGAGTTTGGAGGATGCTAAGGATGGGGAGGGGCCAGCCAGCTTGATAATTCTTTTGTGTTGGGAGTCGCAACACCTGTTCATTTGGAGACCCATTTGGAGTCAGTGGCAGCAGCAACAGCAGGTAGTCCCATGGAGATGGGAAGGTCTGGAGCACAGTTTGTCGTGGAAGATGGCAGAAGGGAGTTGTTAGGCTCTCATGGGACCTGGGTGGCTTCCAGAGGCCCTAGGAATTTCTTACTGAGCCCGAAACTGCTGTGAAGACTGGATAGGGTGGGTGGGACTGAGTCTGTTTCCCTGGCATTTTCTTTCCTTCGTCTCTTCTAGGGCCAGGACTCAGGGAAAGAGGGGCTCTAGGGTTCCAGGAAGGGATACCTGGGACTTTGGAAGGATGCCACTGGATCTCAGAGGCTTATGGGGAAAAGCTGCAGGAAATGCCCTGCCTTTCCTTGTCCCCTCTTCCAACCCCTGTGCCTGTCCATCTGTGCCAAGCTTGAGCTCTGGGGTTGGGTCAGAACCAGGAATGTGAGTTCTAGACCATGAGGATGGCTGCCCATGCTTCTCAACTTTGGGATGAGGCCAACTTTCTTTCTTGGTTTTTCAAGACAGGGTCTCTTTGTGTAGCCTTTGCTGTCCTGGAACTAACTCTATAGACCAGGCTGGTCTCCAACTCAGAGATCCGCCTGCCTCTGCCTCCTGAGTGCTGGGATTAAAGGCCTGCGCCACCAACACATGGCAAGGGACAATTTTCTATCCCTCTGCCCCAGACTTCTCTTTGCTGGTATTTTCTCTCAGCTCAGAATCCAACCCTGGTGATGTGTGGCCTGGGGGGGCTTCTTCTCTGGCTTGACTTTGCTCTTAATCTACCACCTTCCCTTGCGCAGGCCCAGCCTGCAGGGAGCCCTGCAGTGTATGTGTGGTAACACCATGTCTGTGCCCCTGCTCACCGACGCTGCCACCGTGTCTGGAGCTGAGCGGGAAACGGCCGCAGTAAGGACCCTGGGCCAGACCTGTGGGTGGCAACTGGCTGTAGGCAATGTGGGAAACATGGAGGTGGCAGTATGAGAAGGGACTAGCCTGAAGCTAGGAGGGGGTTAATAATCTGTTGGCTCCCACCTTGGTCTCCCCAGGTCTGGGGGCGGGGGGCGCTGGAGTTGGAGAGTCTAAACGGGGACCTTTGAATTCCATTTTTTTACTTTTTTCCCAGGTTATTTTTTTACATGGACTTGGAGACACAGGGTGAGTGGGCTGAGGGGTGGGGTGCTCCTTCATCAGGTGGGGCTGTCCCTCTCGATTCTTCCTTTACCGGAGCCTCTTCCCCCCTCCCACAGGCACAGCTGGGCTGACGCCCTCTCCACCATCCGGCTCC